TTCTGCAAGCGAAGTTTACTTATGTAATGTCCACCTACGTAATTTCGCTTGATTCTCGAACCCAAGCCAAATTGGCAAGTTACTGAACAACTGGTCTTTGTGGCCTGTCTTGTGGTAACTATTTTTGGTTCATATCTACTACATAACATAATGCCACGTCCCACGGCGTGATGGAATTCATTTGGTGGATATTAACTACAATTTGGTCCAGAATTGGCTCTTCTTTGTGTCAGTTTAAACAAACTAAATTCGAGGAAACAAATTTCGGCTATAAATCGATATAATTCTTATTTATATGTGAAATTATCACTCGATAAATAAAATTCGATATGGTGACATATCAGTTATAGATCTAAGTTTCCGGGTGATTTGTAGTTATACAAAATTAATGTAGAATTTAGGTCACTTACTATTGTTAGGACAACGATATACAAGAGACTATGATGGGTTGAGCATGTAGCTAATATGAAGAAACAAAGAACGCATACAGAAGAAGATATAAGTAAACAGAAATTGTTCTGAGTAATGTCGAAAGGCGGATATATGTAATGCTAAACTTTCTCCTACTACGATCTGAAAGTTAGTAAAATATAATAATGAGAAATATAAATTATAACATTGTTTCTAACATATAACTTTTCCGACTTATATAATAACAGTGATTTAATAAGTTAATAGTAGATAATGTTGTACAGTGACATTAAACCTGGACCCATTTCAGCAACAACAGCTGGTAATGTTACCCGGACATTAAGCTTTAGGGTGCGGAAGGGTCCAAGACTCTACGACAAATGACGATATAAGGAAACAATATTGCAATAATTTCGCAAGTACGAAATATTGTTTACGCTCAAACGAGTGACTTGAAGTCGCACGAATTCCAATCTGTGTGATAACACTGAAATATTGTTTCCTGTTTTCATATTTCAAAGACGTGCAAATGCAAATCTCTTTAGTTTCTTAAGCATCTTCCATCGAATATTCGTTTTATTTTCTTAAGTGTAAAATTAGCTGAATGTAATACCAAATAAGTAAATTTTTTTCGTTTATTTATTTACAAAAATTTTACGTGTTTTCTCGGTGTGTTTCTCAGATGGAATATTTCGTTCTTCAAAATGTCCTAAAACAACATGAAACATCTGTTCCATCTTAAGATCTCAGCTTGACTCGCTGGTGAGCACGAGTTGAATTTTGTCTGTTACGAAGAAGGGGAAGGGAGAGAATACTTTGATGTTTTTAATTTGGAACAAAATTCCTGAAAGATACAAAGAAACAAACCAAAATACTACAGAGTCCATAACTTGACCTTGGTGATAGATTTAAGAACAGAATACGCCAGCGTCGAAGGTCTGAGGTCTGCCAACATAAAAACGTCGACGAAACATTTCGCGACGAAATAACTACACTCAGCTTAAAACAACTTCCAGACAGAAGAGAGAGAAAAATTTGTTGTCTACAAAGATTTCAAAGTGAAATTTATTATGTGATATTTGATAAAATTTCGGTAGAACTGGATAATATAATTCCAGTCAAAACTGAGGTCTGCGACAATTTTAGATTCCTCATAAGAATTACAGATGCAAACGATGACACATATTAAAAGGACAGGAAGATTTAAACTTCTTAACATATATCACAGTGAGATAAAAGATGACCTCGTGAAAAACAACGTCTCAGTCACTTTAAAAGATCCGTTGTCAGTGCATAGACACCGGAACAAAAATATTTTAGCACGTTTCACCAAATGTGAACATCACGTACAGATTATACCTTACTTATTCTATGAAAATCTGTTTAGAAGAGCAGTCTTTTTAAAGTCGATAGTACTGAAAACAGACTTCGCCCTGAGTTAGAGGAACGCGTTTGTAATTTGGTCTATAGAAAGTGGCTTAAAATGTGGTTTATCTTTACCAAAACATGTTAAAATTGTAAAAATTAGAAGCGATATAATTTCCTTTGTAATTGTACGTTCTCTTCTTCAAGATTATTCTGCTCAATTAATTTGTTTAGTTCACAAAACCAATGAATGCATGGATGTCTAGTGATCTTCTTAAAAAAGTTTTGTTTTGCCTGTGTCAATAACGAACAATGGCGATAAACAAAAGTCTGTATACATATTCGTTGAACTGTGTAGCTGAAACGTCGAATTTTAACACTGCTATGAAAAGAACCCCGACATTTTATTTGGCCTCGGGCTACACTATAAATAAATGTTGTTTGTTTGTTAACGACGATTTCTTTAAATACACGTGTAAAGTAGCGACGAGCTGCGGTATGACTCAATGCTGAATTAAAAAGATGTTAATCTATTTGTTGTACAGTGTAACTATACTAGATTGTCGAGTAAATTGTTGACACACCATAGCAAAGAATTTTTGAGGGTTGAAATAAGCAGTAAGTCTTGTCGTCGCATAGCAGAGTCGGTTACGAAGAACAAAGAACGTGTCTGTAATGTCTTCGTAGGTTACGTTAAGTGTAGTTCGTACTTAGCAAGGAAATATTTGGAAGGCGTTAAGTAAAACCGTTTCCAAGCGCCTGTAATTTATTTCGCATTCTCAGAAGAACTGAACAAAAACATGCTGAGTAAAACTTATGTAGGTTTTGCACTGTCGGGATCGCCAATTTGGCCATTTGGTGCCTACGTTATCTCAACAAGCCAGACGATCAGTTTAAAGTTATTTTTATCTCAATGTGTGTTACAAGTAAACTATCAGCTTCAAAACTTCACCTCAGAGGCAATGGAAGCTCAGAAACTCATTTTGTAATGGAAGCTCAGAGACTCATTTTGCAATGGAAGCTCAGAGACTCATTTTGTAAAGGAAGCTCGGAGAATCATTTTACAATGGAAGCTCGGAGACTCATTTTGCAATGGAAGCTCAGAGACTCATTTTGTAAAGGAAGCTCGGAGAATCATTTTACAATGGAAGCTCGGAGACTCATTTTGCAAAGGAAGCTCAGAGACTTTCTGGCAGTAAGATAAAACTCAGTGCGTTACTACACATGATACCCTCATATTTTGGGGATCAGATACGAAAAAGAAACATATTAATCAACCATAACCACCAGTTTCAAAAAGGCCCCTGTTTATATTGTATACAAAATACTTCTTTAGCCAATAAATGTATTCTCAAGGATCACGTTTGACTTGGTCAATAATAGTTTTGTACATTACAGGCTTATATAATGACTGAGGAAAACCATATTATTAATAACCTTCATATCTGTCGAAATACGGCTGACACCCTAATGATTCTACTTTAAACGTAGTGAAACAATGTTATCTTCCTATGAGCAACGTTGTTCGTCGTAAATCAGTAAGACTGAAACATTTCCTTATAACAACTGCTAGCTTCAGTGCAGTTTACAAATAAAATTCAATACACAAACACTGACTTACTCCATCCTACGTATTTTCTACAAAACGTATACATATGCAAAGTAATTTAAATTTATATTTCCGTCATTAAAATTTCCATATGGACTTCAAAATACTGTTAATTGTATTTTATTATCGTGGACACGTTTCAGTTTCTGGAACCATTGTGGAATGCAGCACTGATCACATTCCGAGAATTACAATATTCTCTGTCCACCACACAGACGGCGAAAATTGTGCGTCGGCCAATAAGTATACATAGCTATGCAACAGTCATTCTTGATAAACGAATGGCTTGCTCAGGTAATCAATAAATTTTCTCGAATTTCATAAAACCCAGAGATTCAATACAGTGTTTACAAGAGCCCACAACAGATCCCTATCCTGAGCCATATTAATCCAATTAACACTCCCAAACTTGATTTCCCAAAGGTCCACTATGATCCCACCAACGCCTTGGTTATTCAGGCTGCCCAACTAAAATTTTGTACGCATTTTTACTATGCCTCGTACATCACATGCTTCGCCCATCTCATCGTTTGTGAGGATTTGGAGAAGATGTGAACTACGGCGCTCCTCAATACTCAGTTTTACAAAGCGTCCAGTCCCTCTTACGTTCAAATATTGTCCTTTGCGCTTTGTTCTCAAAGTCCCTAAATTTGTTTTAACCTCTCAAGCTGAGAGACCGGGTTTCACATCCCTACAAAGAACAGCTATAATAAACTCTTGTGCGTTTTTCTTTTCAAAAACATCAAGAGATTGCATTAGTGTTTCACGCTCAGAACTTTAATTTATTGAAAATAACTGCATTTAAGACGATGAAACAGTGTTTTGAAGTGCAGGAAATTTTAATTATTGAAATCGTCTGCGCATTGGGGGAAAACGTTAACCTATAAATTAAGAATAATAAATGAGATGGTAAAGTTGCGTCATATTATGATATAATAAATATATATTATTTAAATCTTGTCCGTCTAATCACAATAAATTCTTATTAAATATTAAAATATTACAATAATTAACATT